GCGATTGGCACAGGACAGAGCGGAGTTTAGGGCTGTTGTACATAGGGTCAGTATGAGTCGCAAGCGACTCGATGGCACATAACAACAACAACAACAACCACCATAAAAGATCACAGTCAGTGTTACATTGAGCACAAACTTAGATTTTCCTAATAATGTGTTATGTATAACTTTTTTAATAACCGTTTATTAAGATATAATTTATATATCATTTTATTGTTGTGTAATAATGTGTCATAACTGACCGACTCATAGCTGACCCATATTGGGGTTTTCGAGGCTGTAAATTGAATGGGAAGAGATTGTCTATCTTTCTACAAAGGTGCAACTAGTGGATTGGAACTGGGTACCTTTGGGTTGGCAGTGCAACTCCTTACCACTACGCCACCAGCACTTTCTATTTTTCAGATAGTTCACCTATTTAGAGTGTGCAATTTAGTAGTTTTTCTGTAACTACAGAATGGTGCAACCATCACATTAATTTTTAGAACATTTTCATCGCCCTGTATATATTATAGGCAGTTGACCAGTCCCCCTCCCTTTGGCCAAGGCAGAGGCCATCCTTTTACTCAATGGTGGGCAAATATGGTGACAGATTACTGCACTGCGTAACAATAAACCTCCACTGGAAGCAGTTGCAGTGGCATAATTTTGAGTGACCCCTCTGATAGGATCACATCACCCATGATACGATAGGGGTGAACTGCACAACCCTAATGACATTACTGATCTTTTGTTGCTGACCTGATGTGCTTACATGTTTTTGAGGTCCAGTCACACGGACTTGACTGACTTACATGTTAGTCACTGTAGTTTAAATCAGAATTTCATTTCTTTTTATGGCCAAGTATTACTTCACTGTGTGGCACAAATGCTTATGTACTCGCTTATTAACCAGGAGGTTGGTGGATCCAAAAGCACTCTTTGGACCCAACCATCTACTTCCAAAAGATGACAGGATAACAGCCATTCAAAACTGATGCCCGGACTGGGGTTCACATAATGGTGGTCCATATGGCTGTTGGACACTGTCCATTCATCGGATGATGGACATTTGGATTGTGCATAGTTTTTGGCTATTGTTGAAATTCTGCTGTGAACATTGGTGCACAAGTTTGTGTAGACTTAGGTTTTCATTTTCTTTACTGTATGCTTAGAGCTCGTTTGAGAAACAGTCTTCCAAATCAGCTGGATCATGTTACATGACTACCAACAGGTGGGTTGCTGGTTTGCTTTGGTTTAATTTTGTTTCTCGTTTGTTTCAAATTTTGATCCAGGATTATCAGAGATCACATTTTGCATTTAGCTGTCATGTCATTTAGTCTCCTGGCTTTTGTGCAGAACAGTTGCTGAAGGTTTTCACGGTGTTGATTGTTTGAAGAGTTTGGGAGAGCTGTTTGCAGAATACCTGTAAACTTGAATTTGTTGGGTTTTTGCCTTATGATTGGATTCAGACTGAATATGTTTGTATTGTTCTGTTTTCATAATTGGTTTAGTTCTCTCATGTGGCATTTATCCAATTTGTCCTGTTATTGGTAGATTGAAGCTGGATCATTTGTTAAATTGTGCTACTGATTTTCTCCCTTGTCAGTGATGCACCTTTTTAATGAATTAGTAACTTGAGGGATGTTGCCCAAGTACTCAGTGTTAGTGTTCAGGGGTAACTCTTGACTGAGTCAGTTAACATGAGGAAGGGTGTAAAAAACAAAAAAAATTCCTTCTATATTGAATTGACATTTTCCTGTAGCTGTGAACATTGTCCTTTAAAGTCATCACGTATGTATATATCTGTCTGTGCCATTATTTGTTCTGATGCTCAGGTTCACAGATGTGGCCCTGTGGACTGTGGTGATGTCACTCTTTGTGCACATTATTGCTCTGACACAGGGAGCTTTCCAAGGGTCCCCTCCTTCCAGATAGTTCCTTAGTAGACAAGAGAACCCCCTCCCCGATGCCAGTGATCCAAAGATGAATTGAATCCTTATCCTTGATAAGCGCTGCAATTAGATGTTTAATTAAATCCCTTTGAAATTTAATTTTATGGTTTTTTTCAGGCTATTTATCAATCTCCTAGGGCCTGAAACCCCTGTGGTTGAGATATGCGATTGTTAGGTGCCATCAAGTCAACTCTGTACGCCTCCTAACAACCCTATAAAGAGCAGATCAGTACCTTGCCCTCCCCTGTGCCATCCTCATGATGTGATGTGCTCAGGCCCGTTCTTGTACTCATTGTCCGTCCATCTCATTGAGGGTCTTCCTCTCTTTTACTGACCTTCTGTCTTTCCTAGCATGACACCTTTTTCCAAGGACTGACCCTTCTGGTCAACATGCCCAAAGTATGTGAGAGGTTATTTTGCCTCTAAGGACCACTCTCATTGTACTTCCTTCAAGACAGATTTGCTTATTCTTTTGGTAGTCCATGGGACAGTTAATATTCTTTCCAGCATCAGAATTCAAAGACACTGACTCTTCTGTCATACCTTACTCATTGTGCAGCTTTCAGGTGCTTAGGTAGCAATCGAAAATAGCATGGTTTGGATCTGGTGCACCTTAGTCTTTAAACTGACCTCCTTGTACGTCACTTTAAAGAGGTTCTTGATAGCAGATTTTACCATTGCCCCCCATCTTTTAATTTCTTGAATGCACCTACCTCGGGGGTTGATTGGGGACCCATATACAGTGAAATTGTTGACAGCTTCAGTCTTTCCATTTATATGATGCTGCTTA